TAACTAAGAATTCTACTGTTGCACTTTTTGCTGACGACAGTAAATGTTACCGTGCATTTCAGTCACCAGCCGATCGAGATCTCCTACAGACTGATCTTGACTCTATGCACAACTGGTCGATCTCTTGGCAATTGAAATTTAATGTATCTAAGACGCTCTTGCTCAGGGTATCTCGGAAACGCAACTCTCCAACTCTCACTCTTACCACCTTAATAATCAACCTATTAAGATTGTAGCCAAACAAGTCGACCTGGGTGTGGTTGTGAGCAATGACCTTAAGTGGTCCCCTCACATTGCCAGCTGTACTGCTAAAGCCAACCGTTTGCTTGGTTTTCTTCGGAGAAATTGTTCTCAAATGACTGATACTCGCTGCCGTCGGCTTCTCTATCTCTCACTCGTCCGATCTCACCTGTCTTACGCCAGTGAGATCTGGGCGCCTCAGGCCTCGTCACGCGATCTTGCGATCCTGAAGGGTGTTCAGAGACGAGCTACTAAATTTATACTTCAAAATTATGACTTGTCTTATCTTGAGCGTCTTAGGAAACTTAATTTATTGCCTATATCTTACTGGCTTGAAATAAAGGATCTCATCTTTTTTTTCCAATGCAAACAAGGCCTCTACGACCTAGATATCTCCTCTTTTATCACCTTTTCTTCTAATCGCTCATCTTGCACCCGTTCAAGCAAGGACAACTTGCTTCAAGTCAATCCGTGCAAAACCTCTCTTTTTAGAAACTCTTTTTTTAACCGAATTGTCTTTCTATGGAACAATCTCTCTCCAATCATTCGTAACAGTTCGTCTGTTTCATCCTTTAAGTTCCAGCTCCATTCTCAATACTCCTCTCAATTAGACTCTTCTTTCGATGTTAACAGATTGCGCACTTGGAAACCTACTGCTCTAAATGCCGTTCTTTCAACTTAAGCTGTTGCTCATAGTCTAAACTATTAATTTTTATATAGTTAAGTAAATATAGTGTTCTAGTCCTTGTCTTTAATGTATGTCTACTTATTGTATTGTATCAGGTTGGTCTTTACATGGGACTCATGTCCTGTTGACCATATACCTTCAATCATTGTTATATTTTTTGTATGATTGTAAAGTTAATAAATAAATAAATAAATGCACCATGACTGCTACTGCATACACTCCTGACTTACGAGAGAGAAACGAATGAGAAGCGTATAAAATCAATAAAATAATTTTCATACGCACAAAATTACAAAAATCCCTTGAAACCTCTAGCGTATAAACCATACGTCCGAATACGCACAAAATTCTTAAGCATGCTTAAAAAGATCCCGGGTCTCGCCGTATGCCAGCGTATACGACCGTGCTTGAAACGTATACAACCTATGCCTAACGTACCCTTAGCGTATATCAGCGTATGAGTGATAATTTGATATTTTTCATACTCCGGCATACGCTAGTACGATATGCAATAGTGTGACAGGGCCTTAACATAGTTGCAGAACGCTATTTTAACCATTGATTTTACATATTATAGTAACATAGACATCCGCTTTGTTTCAATCTAAATAAACTATAAATGTATGAAGTACTTTTAAAGATCGGATAAAAATAAGTATTGTATATAGTTTCCCTCTTATACTTCAAAGTTTCTACGTCTTCGACATTAATTTGTAATGATTTAAACCGTCAACTATTCAGCTCACGGGTCTACAATATTCTAACAGACTCTAGCTTATAATTACTCTGCCACTGCAGTAAACAACAAAATATTTGTTGTCTCGCATTTTTTGGGTTTTCAGACTGCCACGTATTGAGTTATCAAGCCAACGGGGATTGCAAGCTTGGGAACGAGGTTGCGGGGATTGGCATGCAGCGAGTCTTATCTAGCTTATGATTAAGTGCACAAAATATTTTAACGACGAATTAACGTCTTGTAAATGGTCGCGAAAATATTTCATGCCGCGGTTTGCTTCCCTAATTTTTGGCTGCCCACCCCTCTTATAGCCACAACCGAATTGCAAATTAAGTAATTTTTGTACTATATAGCAAGTCTAATATTTGATCTTCGTCGAGTAAGTCTTTGCTGCACCATTTTTTTACTTTATTTTAAAAAATACAGATATGTGCTTAATATATACAGTCTTGGAGTTGCTTTTCTGTCATCAGAGTATGGAGTCAGGAAGAAGGGGGTAAATTTAGGGAGAATAGGTAATTATATGCATGGGAAGGCTATAGTGGGATGCAAAAAGTGGCGAAAAGGTTCTCTTCGACGTGGTAGAAACATTTCGTTTTGCGAGGGTATTATTCGGTTTAGCTCCATCACCGTACCTGCTCGAAAGGGTCCTTGAAAGTCATCTCGACGCATGGGCTGACAGATATCCTGATGAGGTTGCACTGCTACGCCGTAGCATGTATGTTGGTGACCTGTTAACGGGAGGGAGAACTGTCCAAGAAGTACAGACAAGGAGAGAGATAGCGAGGGAAATATTACATGATGCCACTTTTGAGCTTCACAAATGGAACTCGAACATTCCACAATTAGAAGATGATGCATCCCCAGAAGATCACCGAGAGCAATCCTACGCGAAGCAGCAACTTATGGTCAAATCGAGTGAAACTAAGCTACTAGGACTGAAGTAGGACAAACGTAAGGACACCCTAGCAGTGATATTTCCGGACGATGAAGTGTAGAAAACGAAGCGTGGGGTATTGAGCAAGCTGGCGAAAGTATACCATCCGTTGGGGCTGGTTTCACCGGTGACTCTCGAAGGAAAGCAAATATACCGAGACGTACGTGTGCGACGCAAAGACATCTTGGGACGTAAACCGTGACGGTAAACTCCTGGAAAGATGGGTGAAATGGGAACGCTCCTTACCATTGGAAGAAACAGTACCGAGATCAATCGTGAATCACCAAGAAGAAGTTACAGAAATCGAACTGCACACCTTTGGCGACGCATCCATTCAGGGTGTTGGGCCTGCAGTATACGCTGTTGTCAGGCAACCATCGGGGACAACACAACAACTAGTGACGGCTAAGAGCAGATTAGCGAAGCGAAGCTTGACTGTACCAAGGTTAGAGTTGGTTGGTGCACACATGGCCACCAACCTGGCAGTAAATGTGCGTAACGCCCTTCCGAAGGTTCCAGTGCCATCTATTCACGCATGGATCGACAGCATGGTTGCGCTACATTGGATATGTGGAAATGGAATGTATAAACAATTCGTAGCCAATCGTGTGGCCAAAATACAAGCTCACCCGGAAGTCCAGTGGCGGTATGTGCCCACATACGATAATCCTGCTGACATAGCAAGTCGTGGGGGAACAATCTCATCTTCAGAGCTATGGTGGACTGGACCAGAGTGGCTCCAAGATCCTTCTCAATGGCCAGATAACCCAGTGCTACAGATGTCACCTGAGGCGGAAGCAGAAGCGAAGGTGATTCGTGAAGTCCTATGTGTGTCCAAATCAGAACCAGCATCTGACGAAATTGACGATATCCTTGGACGAACCAGCTTTCGTAGAACTCTGCGGATTTGTGCCTGGATGAACCGATTCATCCACAACTGTAGATATCAAGATAAGAGAGTCGGACCCTTGGCTACAGAAGAAGTTGAAGCTGCAAAGGAATGGTGGATCAAGCGAGTACAGTTGCGGGACAGCTTGCAAACCCATTACCTGGAAACCAGCGCTCTTTTAGGCCTCGAACGAACTGAACGTGACATCATGGTATGCAAAGGGAGAATCCAGGGAAGTTATCCTATTTATCTTCCGCATGATGCAGCATTTACAAAGAAGCTAATTCAGCGCGTACACTGTGAAACGCTCCAAGGGGGAGTGGGGATTACCATGGCGGCGGTGAGAGAGTGTTATTGGGTTCCTCGACTTAGATGTTTAGTTAAGAAAGTACGCGGTGATTGCTGGGGATGTAAGAGATTCCGTGTGAGAGCAGCAACCGTACCAGTTCCGGGACTTCTACCAAAGGACAGAACTAATCCAGGAACTGCCTTTGAAGTGGTCGGTGTAGATTTCGCGGGACCAGTGAAATACAAGAAAACGGCGAAAACAGAAGGAAAGGCATATTTGGCAATATTCGCTTGCAGCATGTCAAGAGCCATTCATTTGGAGCTTCTGCAAAACCTCGAGACGCCCACATTTCTTGTAAGCCTGAAGAAGTACATCGCCCGTCGTGGGCGACCGCGAGTAATATATTCTGATAACGGTGGAACATTCGTGAAGGCGAGTGCCTGGTTAAAGCAAATACGTAAGGATGAACGAATACGTGGGCTAGTTGAGGAATACGAGATAACATGGAAGTTCAATCTCAGCCGCGTCC